TGAAAAATTTATACACAAGTTGTTTCCTGGCATTGGCTGCAGTCGCACTTTGTGTCAACACTCTCCCCCTTTCCCTTTCTATCCTAGGTCCTTTTCCTGTCCCCTCCTGCCTTCTCGTCTTTGTTCCTGGGCAGGTGTTGCCCATTTAATCTCCTACACTTGATTGATCTAAGAAGCACGTTCCTCACTTGTGTTATTGTCTTATAGGCCTGCCTAATCTTTGGCTGAAAGGTGAACTTCGGGAGTGGCTTCAAGTCTCAGTTAGCAGGGTGTCTGGGGGCCATAGTCTCGGGGGTTCCTCCAGTCCTTGTCAGACCAGTAAGTCTGGTCCTTTTTGTGAATTTGATAATTTGTTCTACATTTTTCTCCTGCTCTGTCTGGGACCCTCCGTTGTAATCCCAGTCAGAGCGGTAGGTAGTGGTAGCCGGGCACCATCTAGTTCTTCTGGTCTTTGGGTCGTCTAAGCTGTGGTTCATGTGGTCCGTTAGTCCTTTGGACTAATTGCTCCCTTGGGTCTTTAGCTTTTTTCCCTGTCCTTTGGTCCGAATAGACTTATTTTGTACCCTAAACTTTACATATTTCAAATTAGAAAAATAAGCTGAATAGCTATATTGTTGTTTTTTTTTCTGTTTACAAAATAACATATACCTGTTAAGAAAAGATCAGAATACAACAAAACTTTATTAGTTTGCTAACGAATTTATAGAGACTGTGGAGTCACGAACCAGTTGCCATCACGTCGATTGTAACTCAGGATGACCCTGTGTGTGTCGTCATAGAACCGTGCTCCATAGGGTTTTCAGTGGCTGAGTTTTCAGAAGCAGATCACCAGGCACCTCTGGGTAGACTGGAACCTCCAACTTTTTGATTAGCAGCTGAGCGCATTAACTGTTTGCTCTACCCAGGGACTCTGTTGGGGCATTTGCCTCAGATGGAACAAGGTTTACATCCCAGCTGAATCCCTTACTTACCGAGAGACCTCGAGCAAGGAGCTCAACCTTGCTGAGCCTCTGTTTTTCCATCTGTAAAATGGACATAACAGTACCCTCCATCTCAGCGTGGTTTTCTGAGGATTTAGTGAGGTAATGCGTGTCTAATGCTAGCACACCACCTGGCTCGGATGAAGCTCCAGGCAAATAGCAGCCCTCAGGAGTGGGCTTAGAGCAGTTCCCAGAGGTGATGGAGAACATTGCCTGGTGGAGAGGACCTTGACCATGTAGTTAGAGTCACCGCGCCATCTGCTTTCAAAAAGCCTGCCTGCATTCCTTATCCTTTCTTTTAACGTGGGGTAACAGTGAGGTCCAGGCATGATTTTGCAAAGAGAAACGCAAATTGTCATCCCCACTGAGCAGTGCAGAAGGACAGAAGTAAAATTGCAATTGGTAATGCAGCCCACCTTTAATTAGTTGGGCATTAGGAAACCCAGTGCAGACCAGGCTCCAGTTCCCCTCTCTCCAAGTGATGTAAAACTCAGCCAGGACCCTGAGCCCAGGAAGAAAAAGGCCTCTCTGAACACACTTGATCTGCACTGCCGCTTCTGTCCAGCAGAGGGCAGTGAAAGATGTTCTAGCCAATTACTCTTTGCACACGTGCCTTGCTTAATCAGAAGCCTCATTGAATCACTCTGCAGATATGAGAGAAAATTCACCCTTCTCCTCCCCCCGCCACTAGAATTATGTCAGACTCTTAAAAAACAGGCCCATTTGGGATGGATCCGAGCACTGGAGAGGAAAGCCATTTTGTCCGACAGCACTGCCCTCAGCCGTGATGACCGACTGGCCAGGGTTTTACTACTGCTCTGACAACAGCGGTTCCTTCCCATGACGTGGCCTGTGTGATTTCTGAGGGCTGGGAGGGAGACTCTGCGGTGGCATCTGTAGTCACTGCCCCACACCATTGCTCATGGCTGAGACTGGTGAGCAGGAAGGTGGCAGTGAACTTGGCTTCCGGTACACCTGGCTTCACTGC